TGTTGCTATAGGCATGTGTGCTTGCCAGAGAGACAGAGACAGAGAGATAGAAAGCAAGAAATCACCCCCCAGGGGGTGGCCACACCACAGTCCCTTCTCCATTCCCTTCTCAGGATTTGGGGCACGTACACACACACCCGTGAGCTTTAAGTCGCTGGGTCTGGGACTTGAACCGTGGTCGACTACCTGGGAGTCCAGCGACATATCCATTGCGCCCTCTGCTGGTCCCGAGGACATTTTTAGAGGCAGGATTTACTATTGGCTCCGGAGGGTCACTGAGGAACCTGCTCTCCGATGCGGGTGACATGTGAGCCGGGGACTCACCTGGAGGCCGCCGTTCTCTAATGGCGGAACTTCCTCTCTGACCCCCATGGCCAGGTTCTTAGACATGGCTTTCCCCGTCATTGAAACATGCTCAAACATGCATTCAGGTTTTTTGAAGTTCGTTTATTCGTGAGAGCGAGCGACCCCCTACAGGGACTCGTCACACCACTGACCCCTCCCAGCCTTCCTGCTGGCCAGGACCTCGGGCCCACGTGTCTCGCGTGTCCCAGGGTGACTCAGACCTGGACCTGTGGCCTGCTGTGGCCCCCAGCCCTGCAGGTCGGTGGCAGCACGTGCACCACCGACCGGCCCCTCCCTTTGTAGAGACCGCTGTGGCCAGTCACCCAGGGTCTGGTGGACTGTCCCAGGAAACACCCCAGCTGGTTGGGACCACGGCAGCGAGGCGTGGTGACATGGGAAAGGAATGATCCAGGAGGTCCCTCTCACTCCTAAAGACTCCCAGGCTTAAACACCCTGCCTGAGGACGACCCCGGGAGGGGTGGCCCATGTCAGGCAGGAGACTGCCATTGTGTGCCCGCTCTGCCGGCCTCGAGGGCCGCTGCTGGGAGAGGCCAGTGGCCTTACAACGTGACATCGAGGGACTCGGTAGGGCGGCAGCGCAGTCAGCGGGTCCTTTCCAGGGCCGTCTGCCGTGGGAGGGGGGGAAGGGGCCTCAGCCCTGTGCCGGGACCG